TGATCTAGAACACAGAAGCATTTTATTCTTAGCATCCTTTCCCAATCACAGCTCATAATGAATGTTAGCCTCTCTGACACTACTTCCACAATTTGGGCTATATTGGTAAGTGTTCAGTTGCTCAGTCTTTGTAATTGCAGTGATTTATTTTAGCAAGTCTTGATTAATTATACATTATAATATAATTCACAAATTCCTTGTGTGTCCAATCACACTTGGCCAATAAAGAATATTGTATGGTATGTATTGCAATGTATTGTAATATAGTTGAATGTCAGATACATTTCCCAGAATGGGCATATCTTTTCTTATATAGTGATAGTAATTTCAAATCAAGCAAATTCCAATTTGAGAGGATTTTGCCTGGGTTTGCAGTAAATGTTGTGTAAATTGCAAATAATAATAAGCCACACTATATTTTATATTTTACATATGCTCTATTCTATTTTATATGTATTTATTTGTGACCTGCATTTTAGCTGACCTAAAAGATCAGACTAATTTTTACAATATTGACTACCAACAACTCTGCAGGAATTCAGGAACAACCTTTCCCATCATTTGATGCCTTAGATATTTAAGAAGAAATGCAAAGAGATTTCCTTCTATGAAAAGAAGGACTAGCGGTGACATGATAGCAGTGTTCCAATATCTATGGGGTTGCTATAAAGAAAAGGGAGTCAAGCTATTCTCCAAAGTACCTGAAGGCAGGACAAGAAGCAACAGATGGAAACTAATCAAGGAGAGAAGCAACCTAGAACTAAGGAGAAATTTCCTGACAGAAAAATGAATCAGTGGCCTCCAGAAGTTGTGGGTGCTCCAACACTGGAAGTTTTTAAGAAGAGATTGGACAACTATTTGTCTAAAATGATATAGGGTTTCCTGCCTGAGCCAGGGGTTGGACTAGAAGATCTCCAAGAGTCCCTTCCAACTCTGTTATTCTGTTAAGATAAATCTTTTCTCCAAGTTCCAGCTTACATTTGAACTTTTTAAAAAAATATAGTACGAAACATTAGTACTTTATTTGAATAACTAATTTCTGTTTCTAAAATAATAAGAAACTTAGTTTCAAGCAACCTCTTTAACATGATCTTTTGAAAATATTGAGAAAAACTTCACTGAATACATATAAGTTTATTGATCTATAGAATCTTCTTTGTGTGTCTTTAAATCACACAGTATCCACAGTTACATAGCACCTACTGTTTTAAGGGGCTGTCTGGAATTAGCAGTAGCAAATATTCTTACATTTAGAAATGTATCCAATTTATTCAGTTCTACATTTGAGTCGAAGGTTAGCATGTGAGGGAAGAAAATCACCTGAAACAATACTGTCATATTGAAACATATATATGAAATGTTCAGTATGGTTACATGTACACAAACCTTCTCTGTATATTTTTCTTCAGGCACCATTTGGGATGCAAGCTGAATATGCACATCCTTTAGAAACTCTAATCCTTGGAACTGGATTCTTCATTGGGATAATGGTCTTCTGTAATCACGTAATTTTGCTGTGGGCATGGTTATTTTGTCGTTTGATAGAGACCATTGATGTTCACAGGTAATCTTTTGTTATTTATTAATGATTGTTTGTGTTCAGATTCAGAAAATTTAAAATTATTTAAACATAACTATTGGAAAAAGTTGTCACTAACTTCTCAGTGACAAGCTTCTAAATTCTTCAGATATTGTTTGGGCAAAAAGGGTTTTCACTACTTAAATAGAATATTGAACAGATGAAAGAAAAATATCTGAAGAACAAGAAAACCAAAGAATATCTGATCAGGAGATACCATCTAGAAACAAGGAAGATTAAGGAAGCACTGGAAATGATAAAGCATCAAATAATGGCTATAGCCAAGAAGATCTGCAAATATGGACCTCAAATTGCACACTATAGGCAGAATCTCCAATTTCAGTCAAATCAGAAATGTTTCTACAATCCATCAGTAGAGAGACCGTAGTGAACTGATCAATACCTGATAAAGAAATAGTGCAGTTCTGGGTGCAGCTATGGGACAACATAAAGAAATATATGAATGCGCCTAAATAAAGGAGGTGGGTTAGAATAAAACAACCTAAGATGAAAGAACCCATAATAAAAACAGAAACGGAGAATAGGACAAGAAAAATCAAGAGTTGTAGTTGAAGCATCTAATTAGTCTCTACCCACTTATTGCCCACCAGTTAAACAACATACTGCAAGGAGGTAAAATTAAAGATTGGTTAATGTCTGTCAAAATCTCCTTGATAATGAAAGCTCTAACAAAAGGAGCAACATCAGGCAACTGCAGGCCAATTTCCTAGTTACCAACAACTTTCAAATTGCTAACAATAGCAATAGCATCTAGATCTTTCTGCTGAGCAGAAGGGAAACTGCAAATAACAGAGGACCTCTTCTAAAAGCAGATGAGCAGCAGCTCCAAATTTGGCAAGATGATTTTGGAAAACTGTAATAGAAAGACCAACTTGAACATAGCTTGAATTGATTACATGAAGGACTCCCTGCCACACGATCAGAGAATCAAGTGCCTAGAAATACAAACATCAGAGGTTTTGTGCAAAGATGCACAATGGAAGACATAGTTGCTGGTCAGTGGTGATAGACTGGGAGAAATTAATATCAAAAGAGGAACTTTCAAGGAAATTCACTACCACCACTACTGCTTGTGATTGTCGATAGTACTGATTAACTCAGCCCATAGCTATCAAACTTCAAAAACATCTGCTAGGCTATGCTATCTACTTTACATAGACGATCTGAAACTGCATGGAAAAATACCATCTAAAATAGAATCACAAACAACACTAACACTAATTTTAAAGTCCAAACTTAGTGGAGGAAATAACAGTTAATAACATCAGTTAATAACACGGCAGTTCCAGTTATTAGATACACAGCTGGAATAGTGGACTGGATTCAAGCAGAACTAAAAGTCCTGGATAAAAAGATCAGAAAAATAATGACAATGAGTCATACCCTTCATCCAAACAGCAATGTTGACAGTCTTTACTTACCAAGAAAAATAGGTTGATGTGGAATGTTGCAAGACAGTTGAAAAAGAAAAAAGCATTGAAAGACTATCTGGTAAATGAAGAAGATGCTTTGAAGGTAATATACCATGAAAGCTTACTAACTATTGGGGAGACCATACTGGCCTACAAGAAAGATCAAATGACGAATAGAAAAGAGACCTAGCAAGGAAAAATATTATATAGCCAGTACATTAAAAAAAAATAGCAGATAATAACAAGACCTGACAAAGATTAAGATCAGGAAAGTCAAAGAAAAAGACAGAGGGACCAATTCTGACTGCAGAAGACAAACCTTAAGAACAAATGCATAGAAAGCAGGAAATAAGAAGACACCAACAGATAGCAAATGCTACCTCGGCGAAGAAGCTATAGAGACAGTGGATCATATAGTTAGCTGCTGCAAAATGATTGCACAGATTGATCACAAGTAATGGCATGACAAAATAGCAACAATAGTGAATTGGAAGATCTGCAAGAAATATAATTTGCTTGCAAGCAAGAACTGGTGGGACCACAAAATAGAAAAAGTAACAGAAAATTAAGAAGCTAAATTGCTCTGGAACTTTAGAATTTAAACAGACGGGCACCTAACACATAACATACCAAATTTAACAATTGTTGATAAGAAAGATAAAGTTTCAATGGTGGATGTGGCAGTACCTGGAGTCATCAGAATAGAAGTAGAAGGATTGTGGGAAAAGAAAGCAAAGATAGTACCCAAAATAGGTCCCTTGGGTGCAAACCCAAAACATCTGGAGCACCATGGTTTGGCATGACCAAACTAACCAATTGCAAAAGGCAATTTTTGTTTAGAACAGCTTACACTCTGTGATTATATCTTTAACACCGTTAAACAACACCTGCCCATCCCAGGCCCTTGAGAAGGACTCAATAGGTAGATAAAAATGCTAAATCCAGTCTAAATGACTGGTTGACTGTGTAACGAGCCATAATAATAATAATAATAATAATAATAATAATAATAATAATAATAATAATAGTAGTAGTAGTAGTAGTAGTAGTAGTAGTAGTAGTAGTAGTAGTAGTAATATATTAAATTTATATGCCACTGACTCCCAGCAAATCTAGGCAGTTTAAAAATTGTTAAAAACATTTAAAACAAAAAACAGAGCAAAAAGAGCAAAGGTGGCAGAGTTAACCACCCAACCATCTGGATGGGGCTTGAGTACTTGAGTCACAAAAGGGCCTGGGCAAAGAGCCAGGTTTTCAGGGCCCTTCAAAACACCACTTGGGTGGGCCATTCAAATCTTGTGGGGAACCACATTCCAGAGGGCAGATGCTGGTACAGAGAAAGACGCTCTTCTGGGGTCCTGACAGATATTATTGTTTAATCAATGGAACTCAAAAGTGCACCAACCCTGCAAGATCAGATTGGCTGGCATATACTATGGGAGAATAGGAACAACTCATGCTGGACTACGTTTATATGTGTATGAAATATAATCACCATGTAGAAACTTGTAATAGTATGTTACTTATCTCTTCTCAGAGCTGAGAAGTTTTATTTTATTTTTCTGCATGTAATAATCCCAACAGTTTGAATAGGCACATAATTTTTCTGGAATATATATATCTGTGAAAGTTATTTAATGGACTAGTACAGATGTAAGAAATATTCTTTAAGACTTTCCAAAAAATGAATTTTAGAAGATTCAAAGCCAGTGTCGTGCCTCCATCTGAGCCTGAATCTGCAGAGGAAAATGAACTGGAACGGGACCCTATGGAGGCCGAGGGAGAGTTGTCTGTGGCTTCAGAGGAATGTGGGGAAGAGCAGGCTGAGGCAGGCCAGGGCCCTTCAGGATTGGAACAGGAGGAACAGGAGAGGCAGAGTTCAGGTGATGAGCAAGGCCCACCCCCACCTGGTCCTAGAGCACAGAGAGTGGAGAGAAGAAGGGAATAACGTAGGCAGGCTCAATTACTCGGGAGGTGTTCTCCACGAGGAACACCTGGAGATTGAGATTTAAGGAGACGCTGTTGGGAGGGGCATTTGTCGGGAACAAATGCTGATTCTTGGAGTGTTGTGTATTGTTGCTGATCTCTTGTTCTGTGACTTCATTTTGGAAATGGAAACTTGAACTATTGGATTGACTAACCACATTACTTGAATGTTTAAAGACCTCGGACTGTATTTTGGATTCTCTCTTTTGAAAACTGCTCAGGCAAGCTAGGATTCAAACAGACTCGTTAAGTTTTTGTTTTCTTCCTTGTTATCTCTATGGCCTTGAGTATTTTCTTATGTTAATCAGATTGTATTTGAACCTACTTTCAGCCACAGTGGGCTGAAGGGGTGTGTGTGATTCTTTTGTTGGAGGCTTGCCAGCAAACGGAGCATTTGGAGAAAATTTGGAGCAATTAAAGAACTGTTTGAATTGACAGCTGACTGCATTGCCTCTCCTCTGTGCCCTGGGTCATCACTGCCATGTTGATACTAAAACTAAATAAATATCTAAAGCCCCAGTCATATATTCATTTACCCATTGAACTCAATGGGACTTATTTCCAAATAGATACAAAATCCTATTTTAGACCTTTAGCGCTAAACAAATTGTACATAAAATGTGAGAAATGGCTTCATATTATTAAAATGTGCATTCAATTATGTTTCTTTTTAGTGGCTATGATATTCCTCTGAATCCTTTACATTTGCTGCCCTTTTATGCTGGATCCCGCTTTCATGACTTCCATCATATGAACTTCAATGGCAATTACGCTTCAACTTTCACCTGGTGGGATAAACTCTTTGGTACTGATTCACAGTACAATTCTTACAAGGGGAAAATGAAGAAAGAGAAAAACACAATGGAAAAGAAGATGGAATAAATTTCCCATTTGCAACACTCAATGGCTTAAAACTAGAAAACTTAGCAATTCTTGCAATTCAAAACAAAACACAGCTTTTAACAAACAAACCAAGCTTAGGTTTGCAGCAGGAAAAACATTCATTGATGCATTTTCCAAATGATTGTGCTTTTTCTATCCTATAGATAAACAAATACTGTACAGTATATATTTAAGAAAATGTTAAATATGACCAAATGATTGAAATTATGTAAAAAAAGATATCAATTAAAATTAAAATGAGGGGGGTATTTTGCATTAATGTAAAGCCTAAAGTTTAGAAAGAACAACTACACTGAGTTCACCAAGTAAAACCTTTGTGGAAATCCTCTTTCCCAGTTAGGTGTAAAAAAAGTATATTTAAGAAAGCATCTTTCTTACAAAGAATCTTTTTACTTAGTTTTTAATGAATGTTATTGTAATCTGTATTATACATAACTGTAAATTGCTGATTTGATTATTAACGTAATTTGTCTTACAGTAGCTGTGGTTGATATTTTTGTCATGTTTTCTGTACAGCAAATAAAATAATATTGGGGTTCAGGCTATTATTCCCTGGTTCCTTATTATAAAAGGTCCCACTCCTTACAAAAGGGATTTCCTGGTTCATTTAGATTTGTTCCTATCAAACAAACAAAAACAAACAAAAATAATTCTTACTAATTTTTGCAGGTATTTATTCCTGAACTTTGATCACCTATAGTTGTAAATATACAAGCCTTCTTAAAAGTGTCATGGATTGAAAAAGTGCTATGTTTGTAGCAATGATTTTGCTTTCTGTTAATACACAATGACAGCTATTGATAATTAGAACAGAATATGCCCACTGAAATTTGATAGTGGAGACATTAGATAACTTCCCATCTATTACATAGAGTCAAAACTATATGTAGCGGAGTTGGGGTGAGAATGGGGCCAGCTGAGAGGCTTTGCAGGAGCCCGGCCGATTAGGCAGGAAGATGAGGAGCTCCGGCAACTGTCATGGGTTTGGCAGCGGGGTGTGGCTCGGAGGAGGGAAGAAAAAGGAGGAGGAAGCCCATAGAAGGGAGGAAGAGAGAAGGCTTGGTGGAGCTTGCCATTCTGAGCCAGCTGATCGAAGAGAGAGTAAGAAGCTGGGGTTTTCGTGTTTGCTTTTTTTGCTTCATTACAGGCAAGCTGGACGAAAGCAGGAGTGATAGAGTGAGAGTCGTTGCTGGAGCCCTTTACTGGAAGCAGGCCAGGCAGAGAGAGAGAGAGGGGGTGAGAGTGGCTGGTTGGAGCTGTTTGCTTGAAGCAGGCCAGGCAGAGAGAGAGGAGGGGAGAAAGGACGAAGAGAGGGAGAGAGGGTAGTTTGGGGAGTTTTAATTCCCTCTGAGTAAGTTAGGCAAAGGGAGATTTAGAGAAGAGTTTGACATACATCTTTTAGTGGGGGGTAAGGGTTTTTTTTCTTTATAGGATCACCTGGGGAGATAAAAAGGGATTACATGGAGTGAGGTCAGAGAGGGGCGAGGAGAGCGGACAAGGGAGCCCTCTGCCAGTGCCAGAGATTGGTAGATTGATCGTTCTTGGCAAGTTGTTGTCATCAAAGATGGATTAACATCGTCCTGGGCAAGTTGTTGCCACCAGAGACTGGCTGCCATTGTTTTAGGCAAGTTGCTGTCACCAGAGACTAACCGCCATCATTCTGGGCGAGTTGTTGCTACCAGAGACTTGCTACCATTGCTTTAGGCAAGTTGCTGTCACCAGAGACTGGCTGACATTGTTTTAGGCAAGTTGCTGTCACCAGAGACTAACCGCCATTGCTCTGGGCAAGTTGCTGTCACCAGAGACTGATCTCCATTGTTCTAGGCAAATTGCCATCACCAGAGGCTGATTAACATGGTTCTGGGCAAGTTGTTGTCATTAAAGATTGACTACCATCTTCCCTGTAAGTTCTTATTGCTTGAGATCAACCACCATCATCCCAAGTGAGTCACTGTCAAGAGAGAGAGAGACCATGTGCATGGCTGCTGATCATGACTGAATACCACCGTGTTACGTGCTCTGTTAGGCAGAGCTGCCAACATGAGAGACCTCTTTGGGCTGGTGGCCACTTGGAGGGGAGGTCGGGAGGGCCCGGAGTTAAGCAGTCCCTAGAGGGGGGGGGTGCTACATATACATGAGGGAACTATAGGGACTTTTCTTAGATTATATTGATTACTTCTTGGCCTTCCTGACTACTATGGAAAACACTAACTTGTATAACCTGCTTAACCGGGATTCTATCTTTTAGAAAGCCATACATTTGTTTTCTTAAAGACAAGAGATTGGGTGGGGTATAGCTGTATAATTTTGGGGCAGTGAACAGTGTTTTTGTGCCAACATTTTCTACTTCTGATGTCCCCTCAAAAAACAATGCTTACTCTACTTTTTTTACTTGAATGTAATAAAAGCGATTAATAGTTTAAAACAGTATACATATGGAAAAGGCTGCTGGAAAAAGAAATCTAAATCAGAATATCTTGAATACAAAATGATTGGCTGGGGTAACTGCATTTTCTTGCAAGAGTTGCCCTATGGGTTAAACTACATGCTTATTTTTACAGAAGTCTTTCCCCCCAAGATGACAGGAGGCCACTGCAAGCCTCCTTATCTTGTCTTCCCCACCCCACCATACCTTTTAAGCTGTTTTCTTTAATTTATATAGTATTTTTTATTTTGTTTCTATTTAGTCAAATAGATAGGAGAAGCAGCCCATTTTACTCCACTGAGATGAATCCTCTGAGCCACTACATCTTACAACCATAAATCCAACACTGCCTATTTAAAGGAGAAACATGCAATACTTGTATTGAGCCATCAGATTAAAGACATTGATAACAGCACTCCTCCAGCAATCTGGATGTCTCCCACCCTGATGATGTTCTGAAAATCTGGGGAAACTTGATAATGCAGGAAGTGGGTGGTTGTTGAGCCCTGTTAGTTTTTTTTCCTTTGGTGCATTGTGTTTGTTAGAGTCTGTGATCTTTATGTTATAATTCTTCACTTTTTAAAATGTAAGTTCCCAGAGTCATTTGGAATTGGGCACCCTTAAAATGAAATGAAATCATGGCTTCTATCGCCAGCTGCAAAGTTAGACCTAAGTCACAGTGAAGCCTGAGTCTTTGAAGGATTCAGGGCCAAGTGAAATAACAAGCTAGTTATTTGGCTTCAGATTTTAATACAATTGTACAAAGCCACATTGTTGAGTAGGCCAGTATGAAATTCACAGAAATAAGGTTACATCCCCAATACTGAACGAAATGCTAATTGAATTTTGGTTCAGATAAATTCAGTTAAATAAAATTCAGTTTCTTTCATTTTCTGTTCAGTGTGTGGTATGCCTTTGGAATAGGATTAGCTTGCTTGGATATTCTGGTTCCTACTAAATCATTGAGTGATTTTTTCCCTCCTTTCTAAGGCTTAGGATGCAGGCAGAATATTAATAGCTGCTGGAAATGGTCAGGGTTGAATTTCAAATGAATAGCAGTATTCTGCTTTCATAGAATAAACTCATATGAGTATTGAGAACGCTGTTCATGATGTAGATTTTAACTGCATATGTGCGTAGCCTTTTCTTTCGTCGTTAAGGACTGCAGTCTTAAAAATGTGGAAAAATTTAGTCACCAATCCATTTCTCAAAATTGGTTAAAAATTAATAGTACTGGTGTACTATTTCAAAGGTGAAATAAATGGACATGCTTGCAGATTGTGTATACTGCCCTAACAAATTCTATCTTGTTCCTAACATTTCTGGCTTTTTGATGCTGTATAATATTGCTCTAGTTGGTGGATTTGTATTTTTACATTGAAACAGAAGGTTAATCTAACTAAGATACTTCTTTTTTCCCCCTACTGTATACTAATAGCAACCCTATACAGGTAATCCTTGACTTACATCCACAATTGAGCCCAAAATTTGCATTGCTAATAAAACAGTTAGGTGAATTTTGCCCCATTTTAAGACCTTTCTTGCCACTGTTGTTAAGTGAATCACTGCAGTTATTTAATCACATGGTTATTAAGTGAATCTAGCTTCCCCATGTACTTTGCTTGTCAGAAGTCCCAAAGTCAATGACCAGCTGTCTGCAAGGAATATAAATCCTTCCATTCCCCACCATCTAGTCAGAGCTGAAGAAGCTTCTTGGATGAGAAGCGAAACATCTTCAAGGAAAAACAAGGAAGTCCAGTTGCCTCCTGAAAAAAGCACCTTTGGGACAACCATGACCTGGAGGACTTGAGAATCTTCAAAGACATTTTGCTTGTCAGAAGGTCGCAAAAGGTGATCACATGACCTTGGGACATTGCAACCTTCACAAATACGAGTCAGTTGCCAGGTATCCGAATCTGCATCACATGACTAAGTGGGGGCTGCAACAGTCCTAAGTGTGAAAAACGGTCATATTTTTCAGTGCGGTTGTAACTTCAAATGGTCATTACATGAATAGTTGTAAGTTGAAGACTACCTGTACATGATTGTCTTCGCTTTGGGCACACAAATATGGCAAGAGTAAACATAAGGATGCCGTGCTGATAAGAGCAGAGAAGGCTGCAAAACACCAGCGAGCTGAAGGATTTCTGTAGTGCAGAGATGGCAGCATAGCATACTGTATAGTCAATGAGAGTGTTGTGCTTATTGGTTGATGTCACTGATATATAGTATTTATTGTGCTGGAGACTTCACTGCTACTTGCTGCAGGAATTTCCTTGACAAGTGCTGGCAGACGTATATAGTCAGACACCTAAATCTAAAGATACGGGACAGTCATTTGTGGTAGGCTTTGTTTATATTTTATGTATGTCTGTTTAAAAATGGATCAGTACAAGAATTTGGGCCTTGGAAAAAAGTGATGGTTCTGGCAACAATTGGTTCATATCTAATCAGCTATTCCTGAGTCATATAAGTGGGAAATGATGCAATACCTCCCACCTATTTTTTTCAGATCTCCACTCTGGTGTGAGTTAAACTTAGCACGAGGGCTCTTAAAAGCTGACTTAGCATTTGGGATGACTTTTAATCTGCAATTAGAATGGTGTGTAATGATCTGCCTCATTAGTGGTTCAGATGCATTGAACCACTAATTGCCACTACCTGATGGAATAAATGTCAATGATCTGAGGAAACTACTATCATAAGACCGAAATGATGTGTTCAGCTCTCCATGCTTCAAAACATGTGACTAAGTATGCATGTAATGCTGCCCAGATATAAAATGGAGTGTATGTTCTCCAGACACAGGAATATACTGTGTTTTTCTAATGCAAAATAGTCCTCTGTAAATCATGTGTTGCTTATAATGAATTTTAAAAGGCAGGAACAGTGTGAAAGGATCATAGCGTTCTGCTTGACTGAAACATGGTATGTTTACTGTAGATCTCCTTTAGTAATGAGTTCTCCCTAGAATTTTGGAGGATGATAGAATTGATTTAAAGTATAGATAAAGGTGACCAACATTGTTAGGCAGTATTTTTGCTTGCTATTGCATAAAAAAAACACTATAATTTGATTGTTGTCAGAAGTTGGATACATTTCATAGACCAATAATAAT